GTAGACTTTTTGATGATGACCATTCCGATTGGTGTGAGGTGACACCTCCTTGTAGTTTTGATTTACATTTCTCTAATAAATAGAGATGTTGAGCAGCTTTTTATGTACCTGTTGGCCATTTGTATGTCTTCTTTGGAGAAATTTCTGTTTACATCTTCTGCCCATTTTGTGATTGGGTTGTTTGTTTTTGTGATATTGAGCTGTATGAGCTGTTTTTATAATACTGAAAGTTAAGCCCTTGTCATATGTCACATTGTTTGCAAATATTTTCTCCCATTCCATAGACTGTCTTTTCATCTTGTTTATGGTTTCTTTTGTGGTGCAAAAGCTGTTAAGTTTAATTAGGTCCCATTTGTTTATTTTTGTTTTTATTCCCATTACCTTAGGGGACAGATTAAAAAAAGATATTGCTGCAATTTATGTCAAAGAATGTTGAAGGCAGACTCATTTTGATGAAGACATAAAGCTTTCATAATTTCTTACTAGTCACCATACTCAAGGCCATAAGTAAAGAGCCTCAAAGGCTCGTGGAGCGGCAGGTGCAAGTCAGTGACAGGGCCCTTTTCCTCAGCATAGCAGCTTGAAGTCTGCAGTGGTTCAGTCTGTGCCTCTGCAAAACAACAAATTGTTGGAAGTTATAAAACTTCATAACTGCATGTGAACGAAGAGCCTCCACACTGGGATTTATGTTATCCATATGCTATGTTTATTTTTCATCCCAAAATTTAGAAGTAAGTTAATATTTCCTAATCTTCAACCTTTGCACCGACAATAGCATATACATGCAGTTTCCTGCTGGGAGTGTATGCTTAGTTATTGTTGCTGATAAATTCCACTTCCTGTCTTCTAGTTCACTGATTTTTTTCTGCTACTTGACCTAGTTTGTCATTGAACCCTTCTATTGAATATTGATTTCTATTTGGTACTTTTAAAACATTTTCTGTCTCTTTTTTGAAATTCTCACTTTGTTCATGCATTGCTGTCCTGACCTCAGTGAGCATCTTTATGCTACTTTGAAGCCCCTATCAGATAAGTCACTTATCTCCATTAAGATCAGTTTCTGGAGATGTATCTTGTTCTTTGGTTTGGAAGTTATTCTTCTGTTTCTTCATTTCCCTGACTTCCTGTGTTGTTTTCTGTGCATCAGATAAAACAGACATCTCTCCCAGTCTCGTATAGACGAACCTTATCAATCAGCCCAGCCTGAGCTCCTAGTTGCCTCTTAAACCTTTGTGATAGTTCAAGTTGCTGTCTTTGCTCTTAGTGGCTCCCAGTAGTTGAGTGTGTGCCAAGACCCATCCATGTCCTAAAGGGGAGGATCTCAGCCAGCACCCAGATGCAGACTGATTAAAAGACATAAGATGGAAAAGTATGCAATCCGATCTCTTCTAGGGAAAGACTGGGAGATGGTGTTTTTTGCTTGCTCCCTCTGTGCAGAATCTTGGAGGGGATTGCAGCGAGTGCTTTGTGCAAACACGTCAACAGCTGCTTCTTCATCCACAGTGGTCCTGTGAGACTTGTGCATGCACGCCCCTTTGGCTATCAAAGCCAGGTGATCTGGGGACCAGTGGCAGCCATAAAAGCTGCTCCTTCTAGAGAGAGGCTCGTGACCTGGCCTTTATTGTTGGAGTGAGCTGGACCAAGGAAGTGGGAAAATTGCCAACTGACTTCCTTAGAGAGTCACAGCCAGCCCCTAGCTGCATGCTAGTTAGAAGCCAGCCCCGCAAGGCAGCAGCTGATGAAGTAAACAATCAAATCTCTTCCAGGGAAAGACTGGGAGAGGGCTTTCTGCCTGCTCCCTCTAC